TTGTTCCCTAGACTGCAGTACTCTTTTTTATCTTCTTGCCCCATAAAAATATTAAGATTTACTCCTTTAAGAAAATTTCCTAAATAGTGTCATTACAACTTCTGTATCCAGCCTCCAAATCCTATAATATACATCAATTCTGTTATATATAGTTGACATACAGATCTCACTTTGCACAGTTCTGATAAGCATAGATTTTAGTTATGATATTAATATTAACTTTAAATAAAGTTTAAAGTTGAGTAATTACATAAAGTACAAATTTCACTGGTGACTCTTCAGTTCACAAATCACTGCATAAATAACAAAGGCACAGCACAGTCCGTGAGCGGTCACGTCACTTCTTTCAAAATCTGTTTGTGATTGGTCACCGTGCACCTGTTACTGAGTTCATGCATAGAAAGCAAAATGTTCGGTTGTATTGTCCCGTGTCTCCCCGTGATAAACCCATATGACATTTTACCAAAGCGGATAATTAAAAGAGGGAATTGTCCAACAAATATTAAAGCAAAGAAACAAAAAGTGATACGACTTCAAGTGAAATTCGAATCGAACATAAATGGAATTACAGAAGAAATAGCAGACAGAGGGAATGTTGACACTGCTGCTGTTCAAGAGACTCTAGATTTGCTGCCAGACAAACTTAGTGAAGGTGAACTTTATGACATAAATGAGGAAAGTGGTTGTGACGTAAAGGATGAAGAAGTGACACTGGCATAAGATTTTACATTGAAAGAACTCCTGAAGATATTTCATGACATTGAAAGCACAAAGGATACAATGTTGGAAGCTGATTCTAACTTAGGAGGATGACAGTTCCCAGCATAGAAAAGATGCTTTCTTCCTATCATAAGTTGTGTAAAAAGGCAACAAGCACTGTTCAAACCAGTCTAGAAATAAAACACTTTAATTCTCAATGTTTTTCATGTTTTGAATCACAGTGTACTAAATAAAATTTTACTACTATTTTTTTTATTTCCATATCTATACATTTATAATTGGTGGAGAATTTATAATGTTTTGAAAAAAATTTAAAGGTAAAGAAACAATTGTAATTTTTCCCATTGGTTATTAAAACTGCTTGCAGTGTTTCAGCCTGTATGATTATTTTTATGGTCCCACACTGCATGCAAAGCAAGAACTGCCTGAACACATGTGAATGTATGTATGTATGTATATATATTTATACATGTATGTATGAATGAATGCACATATATAAAAGTTGTATTTGTGTTATATGAAGATTTTATTTATACTATATAAACCAGTGCTTTCCAACCTTGACACACATAAAAACATTTGTACAGCACACTGTGATATACAGAAGAGATTGCTCATGGGTGAAGGGCAATGGCCAGGAAGTTTTTGCCATCCCAAGCATTGCTTAGCTACCCCAAGGGTGGAGGAGATTAATCTCCTTTTAAAATAATTAATTAGTTAATTAATTTTTTATTTCAAAATATTAAGGGGGTACAAATGTTTTTGGTTACATGGATTGCTTCTGTAATGCTTGAGTCATGGCTATAAGTGTACCCATTGCCCAAATAGTGTTCATTGTTGCTGCTAGGTAAGTTTAGTCCATCCCCGCCTCTCCCATTCCCCTTGCTTGATTTCCACTGAGTTTTACTTTCCTCTATGCACGTATTTGCTGCTATAAGTCATTTGAGGCCCACAGGTTAGAAAGCTCCAACGATGAGAGTTGAAAACTCCTTGAGGATGTAGACGCTCATGGCACATAGTATGGTATTCTCTGTGTAGTTACATTTTTTTTCTTTTTGCCAGCAACTACCCTCTGCACCACCACAGACGGCTGCACAGAGAGCAGTCTGTGTAGTTACTTTTGACAGACCATATTTGACATATACTATACTACATATTTTTTATTTCTTTAAAAAAAGTAAGAACTATTAATGAGTCTCTTCAAAGGCATATTTAGTAAATTTCTAAAAATATTTTGTGCTTAATATTCTTTTTCTATGGTTATTAAACCATTAAAATATGTCTTTGTTATTAGAAATGTCACTGTATAATGAGTGTTATATATAATGAGTTACAGAGGTGAAACTAAAACTTGGCATAAAAAATAACAGGTAGGTGTGGGAACAAATAGAAGGAAGGCATCTGGTAAAAATGTTAATTCTTTGAGCATAAAGCAAATGAGATGAAAGGGGGCTAGATATGAAAATGAGATATTAAATTGTATGTATTTTTGTTGTCCCAGTGATTGACATCAACTTTCCAGGTAATTTGTTTTGATAACTGATATAGGGAGTTAAAAACAAAAAAGGAAATATTTTCAGCATTGCAGAGTGTTATCCTCTCATCATGCTAATTGATGTTTCTAACTATGGTACAATAACATGGTTTTTGTGTTGACTTGATTATATAACGGTTAGCCCAGGACTGTCTTTTATATGGCTCTTCCTTGGTACATTTCAGGGTCTTGGTGTTGTCTCAACCTATTTTGTTTTAGAAAATACATGTTACTTTTTTATTAATAAAATAGCGTCATCTTGAGAATTTACAGTATTGTTTTTTGAAATTCTACATTCATGTCATGTTTGTGAGAAAGTAAGACTCTGAGCAGACTGCTTTGATTTTTTTTTTTTAACCATGGGAAATCTTATGGTGTACTTTAATTAAAAAATAATAAGCCAGATTTTTATAATCTAATTTTTATCTTAAGAACCAAATGTGTCTTAGAGATGTATTGAACAGGCCCAGACTTTAAATTTGACTTTATCTGCTTGCTTTGTATTTGGTACATATACCTCTAAAAAAAACCTCCATAAAAATGTAACTTTAATAGGAATTAGAAATACCCATATTTTAACAATTGTATTAAAAAATTGTAGGCTTTGAAATGATTTTGTGTACGTGAACATGTGTAAACTTTTCTACATTCCACAAATATTTTAGAATGAATACATATTTCTTTCATAATCTGAATTTTTATGTCATTTTAAAATACAGCTTTACTTAATAGACGTAATAAAATATATGTTTCTCCATCTTTTAGCATGTAAAATTCCTTTGCAGTTATTAACATTTTGTAAAAACATCTTTAAGGAGACTGGCTAACTTATTGGTATTTTTATTTTGTAAATACTGCAGTTGCTTGTTCTTTTTAAGTTTGATATTTTATTTTAGGGCATATTGATGCATTTACTTCAAAGCTTTTCCTGCTAGAAGAAATTACCTCAGAAGAATTAAAAGAAAAGCTTTCAGCACTCAAGTAAGAAAGTTTACTTTGTGGTAGGAATTGAAAAACTTGTTAAAGTGGTCACTCATTCTCCTTTATCTCTAAATACTGGTTAATTTATTTCTAAGACTTTTAATCCTTTTCTACATTGAGACTTTCCCAGACCCAATTTGTATTTTTGTTTTTGTTTGTGTGTTTGTCTTTTTATTGATTATATAATAGTTGTACATATTTTGGGAGTACATGTGATATTTTATACCTGTATACAATGTGTAATTATCAAATCAGGGTAATTGGGATATCCACCACCTCAAACGTTAATCTTTGTGTTGAGAACATTACAGTTCTTCTCTTCTAGCTATTTTGAAATACACAATTATTGCTAACTATAATTTCCCTACTGTACTAGCCAATACTAGAACTTATTCTTTCTATCTAACTGTATTTTCGTACCCCTTAACCAACTTCTCTTTACTCCCCCTTTCCTTCCTAGCCTCTGGTAGCCACCATTCTACTCTCTACCTCTAAGAAATCTACTTCTTTTAGCTCCCACATATGAGAACATGTGATGTTTGTCTTTCTGTTGTGCCTGGCTTAGTTCACTTAACATAATGACCTCCAGTTCCATCCCCGATGCTACAAATAACCAGATTTCATTCTTTTTTATGACTGAATAATAGTCCATTGTGTGTGTATGTACGTGTGTGTGTGTGTGTGTGTGTGTGTGTATATATATACACACACATATACATACATACCACATTTTCTTTATCTGTTCGTCCCTTGATGAAGCCTGGACCCAATTTGTGATCCATCCATATTAATTGTCTCCATCTCCAAATTAAGCACAATGCAAGTAGTGCCAGCCTTTCTAGTTAGGACAAAGGAGGCTAGAACCAGAGAGTGGCCACAATCTTGAAGTACATGGGAAGCAAGCATTTTACCCCTTTATCGAGAAAGGAAAGGATAGAAAAGTCCCAGACTCTTAGTTCTCAAGATTGTATACACTGATTGGACATTCTGACTTCTGAAAGTTTGCCCTTCTACCAAGCATTATATTATACAACACACTAAAGTGAATTTATTGTACTCAGAACAGAAGTGCCTAAATGCAAAGGAAAATAACTTAGGAATATTATCTCATTTGCATCTCACAACTTCTAAGGAAAGACTGATGGTAGTATCATCTCCATTTTATACATGAGGAAACTGGGACTTAGAGTGAGTGATGCCGCAGAGCACACGGCTGAGCTAGTGACAGCTTTGGCAGTTAATATATTTGACCACTTAGGATGAGAAGTGGTCCTCACTTGTACCAGCTGCACAGTTCTAGCTTTCAGGCTTGACACAGGTTTTTAAGAGTCCCAGATTCAAATGTGAACTCTCTGCTTATACTTAAATACATCCACTTCTATTATAAGGATTGCTTCTCTTGAGCAGTAACTTGTCTTATGCGAATAGAAAAACATTTTCATATCCTATTCACCACCTGTCTTACCTCTCCCAGTGAAAACCATTTTTTAAAAAAATAAATAAGGAATGAGTTTAAGTCTAGAAGAGATACTAAAGAAATTTTTAGAATAATGTCTTATATTTCACTTCCCTTTTGTTATCCTGTCCCCAGTCAGTGGCTTCTGTGTCATCATGTATGTAAAGTATTGGTCAGTTTCTAATCTAATCTAGTGTATCACCATCTCTAAAAGGCAAGCTCTTCTGCAGATCAATACTACTAAAGACTTCAGAACATTTTTAAAGTGTATGATTTGAATATACAATAGTGATCTCTTTATAGCTGCTCTGACTCACACAAAGCCAAATACTTTGTGCTAATGAAGGGAAATCAGGAAATGGCAAGAATTAAGTAAATATTATAATTTAATCCATATAGAAATGAATTTGAGTATTCTTTGTTTTACATTGTATCATCTGCTGTTTTCTTTTGTTATTGAGGGCATTTCTCTTCCTGAGGAGCTATGATTGTCAAACGTAAGTTTTTTGTGCTTTAATTTGATATGAATTTTCTTCTGTTTAATAGGATTTCAAGTTTATTTAACATCCTCCAACACATTCTAAAGAAATTAAGTAGGTAAGTATTTTTTGGACATTTGCAATAGTATGTCTGATTTTCGTAGATGAAACTAACCTAGAAGTGCAAAAATTATTGTATCAAAGTTGAAATTGTAAAAATATGAACTTAAAAAATAATATGATAGTATCTGGCTTAATGAACTTACAATTAGATTTTCCTATAAGGCTATTATGTTAGTTTCCTAGTGCTACGATAGCAAATTACTTCTTAACATAGTGGCTTAAAACAACAAAATTTATTCTCTTTATAGTTCTGGAGGTCAGAAATCCAAAAATCTCACTAGGCTACAGTCAAGGTGTCAGCAGGGCTGGTGAGACTATGAGGATAGAATCATTTCCTTGCCTTTTTCAGTTTCTAGTGAACACTTGTATTCCTTAACTTGTGGCCCTTTCCTCCATCTTCAAAACACATCACTCAAATCTCGGCATCCACATGACATTGCCTTCTCCTCTTTTGTAGTAGTGTCTTCTGCTTCCCTTTTATGAGGACCCTTGTGATTACATTGGGCCCACCCACATAATCCAGGATAATCCCCTCGTCTTAAAATCCTTAATTTATTAACATCTGTGAAATCATTAAATATAACATATTCCCAGGTTCTGGAGATTAGGATGTGGATGTTATGGCGACCATTATTCAGCCTACCATAGCTATATTGTTTTCATTTTCAGGATAAAGAGACATAGAGCTAGTGGTCAAAATTATTGGTTCCATGACAAATCTTAGAATGTGGATTCTCCACCTGATCATTTATCAAATTCTTTTGTTTTGTGCACTTTTACATTTATTTTGTTATACTCTTACTAAAAGATAAATTTGAAAGTAATTTAAGAGTCTCAACTCTGAGTCAAAATTTTAGAGTTCTAGTTCTAACTCCATTTATTATGCAACTAGATGTCAGTATCCTTATTTGTAAAATGATGATGTCAAGTGCAATAATGTCCCAGGTACTTTTCAATGATTCTGTGACAGGATTTTTATTTTATATATTCTGTTCTTCATGTGAAACACAATGCTTATATATGAAATTTGCCAGATGCTTTTTGAAATTTTATTATCAGTATTTAGTTTCTGTATTAGTTTTCTATTGCAGCTGCAACAAATTACCACAAAATTTGTGTTGTAAAATAACACAAATTTATTTTCTTGCAGTTCTATAAGTCAGAGGTCTAACAGGGCTCACTGGGTTAAAATCAAGCCATCACCAGGGCTGCATTCCTTTCTGTAGGCTTGGGAAGGATCTGTTTCCTTGCCTTTTGTAGCTTCTAGAGGCCACCCGCATTCCTTGGCTTGTAGCTCTTTCCCTCCATCTTCAAAGTTACAAAGGCAAGTTGAGTCTTTCTCAAATCGCATCACTCTGACCTCTTCTGCAGTTATTAATACATCTCCCTCTGAGTCTCCTCTGCTTCCCCCTTCCACATTGAAGGGCTCTTATGATTACATTGGGTAATCCAGGAAAATCTGGCCATTTTAAAGTCAGCTGATTAGCAACCTTAATTCAATCTGCTACCTTAATTCCCTTTGGCCATGCAGTGTAACATAGTCACAGGCTCCAGGGTTTAGAATATAAACATTTTTAGGAGGTTATTATTCTGCCTGTCATAGTTTATACCTATCTATGTACATTGCACTTGTATGACACTTTTAAGATACTCCTCCTTGGAGTGTCTCTCATTCTCCATGAACTAAATATATTCCTCTGTAAACCAAAGCTTTCTTCATATATTATTTTCAGTCTTTGAAATGTTATTTATTCCTACCACCAAATCAATTATTATTTATTTCTTTATGTGGAAATAAGAAAGTGATTGGGGAAAAAAATTTTCCAGAGGATAGAACAATCCTCTGGACCTCCTTTGTCAACACCTATTACTTTTCAGTTAAAAAAGTTAGTGAAAATGTAACTGACTAGGTTTGTAGGCAGATCTACATAGCTAAAGTATGATTAATCTTTAGTTTTAATAATATATTGCGGGAAAGAACTTATGTTCTCTGTAGCACATTTGCTCCACAAGAGTATATAATCCCGAGAAATCACAGTATATTAATCATACCCTTTTAGCTCTTTGTAATGGTACATTGAATCCCTGAAAGCTTTCTATAGAGGAAGGAAAAATGTGGAGTTGATGTTTGACATGGCTGATTATTTTGACAGTAGAGAATTGTGATTAAGGACGTGGCCTGTGCAATTCAACTGCTGGGGTTATATCTAAGCCCTACACTCTGAACTTTGGGCAAGTCGCGTAGCCCAAATTTATCTCCATAATATTATGGCTTGAAGTTTTGTTGTGAGAATTTAATGAGAAAATGGATATGAAGCAGTACTACAATAGTTAGCTCATGATATTCAATACCTGTTAGCTGCTATTGTTTTTGTTATCCTCATAGCACCTCATACTATATCATGATTGTTCAATTGACTGTTCTTCCCACTTTATTTTAAACTACTCAGTGTAGTGATCTCCATTCACCTATCATTAGGTTCAAAGCAGGTACAATGTTGAATGAATGAAAATGCTGTAGGAAGACTTTTCAGTATAAGTGTCTGTTGCCCATGGATTAGGGAATTAGGCATGCTATGTGTTTCTCGTTAAATGAAAACTTACAAATTGACATATAAAAGTAAAAAGAAAATGATCAGATATTCTGAACTTTGGGATAAAAATTAAAACAGCTGCCTAAAAGGCAGGAAAATAGTTTAAAAGACTTTTAAAATATTATTTGGTCATAAAAATAATTGTAGAGGTGGTGTTCTATTCCCATAATTGTTCTCAGTTTTACTAATAGATAGATCATGATTAAGAAAATACTGTTGAATTGACAAAGTGAGCCAATGAGTTGAGTTTCATTGTGTGAATTTAGCTTGCAGGAGGGTTCCTACTTGTTGTCTCATGCAGCAGAAGATTCTTCACTCCTGATCTACAAGACCTCTGATGGAAAAGTTACTAGAACAGCATATAATTTGCATAAAACACATTGCGGCCTTCCTGGTGTACCTTCTAGTCTGTCAGTTCCCTGGGTCCCATTAGATCCAAGTCTCTTATTGCCGTATCATATCCATCATGGAAGAATACCTTGTACTTTTCCACCCAAATCACTGGATCCTACAACACAACAAAAGGTAAGATCCTTTTTGAAATTAAGTTTTCATTATGTTGTTTCTTATTTATCTATTTCACTGACTATACCATATTTCAACCTAATGCCCACATTTGCCATATTAATCACAATACCATTCTAAAAACTATATCCGTAGGAAAGGTGTATGCTCTGCTGAGTTCAGTCTTTATGTCAGTGGAACTTTTTATTTTTATAAAGTTTATAAGTCAACTAAAGAAAATTCTTTTAGCTTGTCCTGCAGATGCATGGGTAAGGCATCCACTTAGTTAAATCCCTATATTCCCATGAAAAGCAAAGTTGTATTTTTAAAAAATGTTTATGTATACTGTTTCATTTCATTAAATATTTGAGGCAATTTATAGAAGAATACATATAATAAAAGCGTGATATTAATATAATTAAAAATTGATAAGTAGTTTATGTAAAAATAAGGCAAGTATTAGTGATTAGTGAACAGAGTGCCATATTAAAAATATAACCAAACAATTTAAAGACTAAATTGTATTTTTCTAGGTATTGTGTAACTCGGTATTTACAGAGTTACAATTAATGTTACTCTTTCTATAGAATCCTTCCCAGAAATACCAGTTGAATGACATTTCTCTATCTGAAACTTATAAAGCCATGGCTATAGATATTCTGGACCATGTCACTCATTCTTTATCTCATATAAGAAATTCCAATTTGAGTTTAATTGTAGGAAAAGTTTTGCTCTCTATAAATGAATGTGAATGTCTAGGAAACAAAAACTCAGTGTATTTTCCTTACTTGCTGCCAAAAATTTTGAGTCACAATTATCATCTGAGTTCTATAATCCCAGTATTTTTGCCCCAGAGCATATATCATGTGTGTATCCTTTGGGTATTCTGTTCTTTTTCCCTTCTATGTTTATACTGAACTGCTCTGTAACAGTCCTCAAGTCCTTTTCAGAAATAGTTGGAATATGCCGGGCGCAGTGGCTCACGCCTGTAATCCTAGCACTCTGGGAGGCTGAGGCGGGTAGATCACTCAAGGTCAGGAGCTCGAGACCAGCCTGAGCAAGAGCGAGACCCCGTCTCTACTAAAGAAATAGAAAGAAACGATCTGGACAACTAAAAATA